TTTCTAGTTTTAGATAAAAATGTAGTCATAACGTTTAGTGGTTCGAGTATATTAAAAGCGTAAATCTGAGCAGAAATTAGACACAACTTACATATTTCGCTTGCCTCTCACTTGAAGCAGGTGAATTGAAAACTTTTTTACGAAAAAAGGAGATTCTAGAATTACCGAGACGTTAAAATACGAGCAAAATGTTCTCCGTAGTCCCGACTACGCGACACAGCTCAACAACTCACCGTGGCCCAGGACTACGCGGGAAAAATGAACAGTCACGTGGTTCTTATCATGCACAGTAGCATGTTTATTCGTAGTCGTAGTCCGTAGTCTCCGTAGCCTCCCCGCAGACGTCCGTTGGGGTTCGTTTGTTGTCACGCATTCATTTCTCCCCACGGACCGGTCCGTGGGGAGAAATGAATGCGTGACAACAAACGAACCCCAACGGACGTCTGCGGGGAGGCTATAGTCTCCGTATCTTAAACTCCCTAATCTTTCTCTTGACTGTCCTCCATGCCTCGTGCTTTTCAAAATAGCGGATAAGATTTCAATGAGCCAGCGATATATCTCAGTCAGCGATATATCCCTAACAATGTGACGTTGAAAAAAGGACAGAAACCGTCTGCATTTTAAGACCGGTGCCAGCCTTCGGCTGGGCCCCGGTAATTAGTTGTAAATGCTGTATCATGGTATTTTTCCTTTCTCTCTTGTACGTTGTTTATATTTTCCCTCCATGTAAGTGTAAGTATTGTCATTAGAAGTGTTGTAACCAAATAAATGTTATTTTTAAAAAAAAAATTAGAATGAGTGCTATCTTTGTTCATTCAACTGCAAATGGATATAAAAAAATCTTTACGGTTTAAAAATATTTAGGATTAAGCGCTTATCTTCAATAATGGAAAATCATCTCTTTTCTATGCTTTACACTGTTTATTCATGTTTGCGTGTCACGTAATCTTTCTAATTTTGGCTGGCTTCACCTTATATTTCTGCGGGCTTTCTAGGGATCTCTAGTGCCTCTTTCTATAATTTCTCAGGACATTTCGTCGGTGCTTTAGTAATATTCATCGTTAACTGTTTGGATCGTTCGCCATACTGTTTGATTATCCTCGATTGAAACCGTAGGATTCTATCGACCAATCGAATTTAACCATCTTCAGCGCAATTTAGCAACACACAAGCTTCACTGATGTGAAATCATTGTTTCTGTTGGGTTTTTTAAACCCAAATTATTCGATCAGCAAATATGCATTCAGTGTGCATGAACGTGCAGTTTAAGAATATAAAAAGATCCGTAACTGCCATAGAGCGTATTGAACCTTTTTCCTTCGAGGTTGCCACATCATCGGCGAATCATAATCTCAGGTCATAATCAACAACGCTCACTATCGCTGACTAACGCGCACCAACTGCAGATCCCAGCTACGATCACAAGGAATATACAGCGGAAATGCGAATGTAACGCGAACATTGACCGGCAAAAGCAAGCTATTCCGACCAAAGCGTTCCGAATATATCTGGCGCGAAGGGTATTCTAGCCTCCCACGCAGACGTTCTAAGGGGTTCGTCACGCGTTCCTGCCCGGGGCAGGAACGCGTGACGAACCCCTTAGAACGTCTGCGTGGGAGGCTAAGGGAATTCTTACAAAAGATGTATCTTTCAATAAATCTCCCCTGGATATCAACCTTATTTATGATTGACAGTGGTGACAAAGGAATGTGTGAACTACCGTATTTATTCGATTAACCGCCCTGGGCGCTTATTAAATTTTGCACAATTTCAAAAAGTGTAGTATGTTTATTTTGCAATAAAACATTAAATGGTAATAACAAAACTCGGAGATGTGACAAAACAAGGTTTCTGTAAAATACTCTGAAGAAAACTCCGTCTTCGGGGAAGTCTCTTATTAGCACTTATTCAATTTTTTTCGGTTGGGAGGTGAAAGGGGGTGGGTGGGGGTGGGCGCTTATTCGAGACTGGGCGTTTATTAACTTTTTATGCCTTTAGGATGGGCGCTTATTCGAGGTTGGCGCTAATTCGAGGTTGGGCGCTTATTCGAATAAATACTGTAATTACTATCCTGGTCAGCGCTTGACCGCAATAAGTGTTAATCACCATAGAAATAAGGCTCCTAGTGTGAGCAATAGAATCTGAGCCTCTAGCTTGTGGCGGCATAAGAAATATTGGGCGCGAGATAAGTGATGCGCGCAGGGGAGGAGTACACGTGTGCTCGCGTCCTTCATCCTCTTGGTCATCGCCACCGTTCTTATTTACGCACACGAGTAATTTACACGGCCACCTTCCCTTCTCCGCAGGATGGTTATTACCGAAATCCGAGATTAATTTGCTGCAAAAAGGAATGAATGGTATTAAAGAGGCAATCAAGGTTACTTCGATGGTTTTATCAAAGCAAACCTTATTGTCCTTGGCTCTTGTTTCTGCGCATGTCAAAATCAGGTTTATCAGCGTAGTGTTTTCCTCGTCAATCTTTCATATTGTTAAGGTAAATGATATTAGAATTAGGTGCATGTTAAGTATACCTGCGTTACCGGCAATAGAGAATTCTCGTACACGCGCAAAAGCAGAAGGTCACTTCAGAGATGCCTCAAGCCTCTGTTTCAAAGCCAGGCTATGAGTTTTTATTCTCATGCAAATAAAACATATTTTCATTAAAAAGGTTTTGCACTTAGCCTCGTTTTGAAAGTGAGAGTTTTTGTAACTCGGAAGTGGCCTATTCCTCAGCTAGCCAGGCTACTTTGAATTCAGTATGGAGGCGAATCCTGTGGTCTGATTGGCTAAACGAGCGGCTAAGATGGGCCGCGTCTTGCCCACTCGATATTGCTTGCTTTGTCCCTCAAGAAAAGATCTTGAATTGGCCATATAATACATATTTTTCTGGCTAAAAATTTGCCTCGTTCCAGGCCATCATTCAGCCATCTTGATCTTAAGCTTGGCCAATAAGGCATATTTTATGTGCATATCATGGATGCTTGTAAATTACTAAAGGATACCATCAGTCCTTGAGCACACCAGTCAATTGCCAGGTCTAACAGATTCAATTCCGCAGAGGCGTACGCTCCTGAAATCAAGTAAATATAATTATTATGTAAATCAGTTAAACTTTAAAACAGCTGATGTTTCCAACCCTGTCCTGACCTCTTTCTCCATAGCCTTTGCGGCGGGTAGATAGGGTGCGAGGGAGAAGGGAAGAGGGGAACACTTTCCTCGCCCCCGCGCGGGACCGAACTTCCCCGAAATCTTTTCTATTCTCATTCCTTCAGAACACCTGCCACGCAGGCCTCTTTCCTCTTCGAAACAGTGAGTGTATAAACAGAAATTTATGAATGAAGGGTTACGCTTTTAACTCCGTCGTGATAATCACTCAATCTCGCAAAAAAAAAAAACCCTCAAGAAGAGCCCTCAAGAACCAGATGATATGAACATATTATGATGATTTATAATGGCTATTGTTTGAAAAAGCAAAATGCTTTTTTTAAAAAAAACCGGCTAAGGTTTACATTTTACACTTAAATTACACTGACACCATCACAACCAGTCTCAGTTTTGGCGACGGGGAGCGATAAGAGGCGGATGTATTCGCAGACTATCTTTGAAATCACCTGCGATTATTGGTTCGATTGACAATGGTCTTATGTCCGTGGCATTTTTTGCATCTACCAGTGAGTAAATGTATTTTCCTATGAAGTTTCAAAAAATAGTAATAATTATAAAATAAATAACAACAAAAAAAACAACAACAGCAACAAGTTACTCAAGAAACAAACGCAGCGTGACAATTAAAATTCAAAGCAATCACGATGGGAAGCGACGGATGAATTTAGGCAAAGGACTTCCACGGCAAACGTAATGAATCCGAATCAGAATAAGCGTTATCAGTGTTTCGTTTTGTCCTAACATTAGTGCGATATTTGGCCTAAAAAAATGCAAACTAAAAAACCATTTACTTTTTTCCCTCACTAATTACAAAAATCATCCAAATTTATGACGTAATTTTAAAAAACGCCACCCAGAATGAGGCAATTTCACTTGGCTATTTACAACCGGGGAGTTAAATTCATTGCCACGGAACTGGGCAGAGCGAAAGGCAAACCCAGTAACTCTGCTGGATTGCAAATCAGATGTGCTGAAAACTCGCTGACCATGCAGGCTGCCCAGTATTTGTGAACAACAACAACAACAAAAACACATAAGCTGACCTTCGTGAAGGTTTGCAGAAGCTCGGTTGCTGTACAGCATGGCCATGCCATCTTCATCCTTGCAGTTCACTTTAATTCCCTCAGTGAAAAAATAAACAGCGTTGCTGTAATCTCTCTTTAAGAACGCTTCCGTACCTTCATTATTGTAAACCTGTGCTATTGCTAAACAAAAAGAGGATTGAAGTGTCATCACGTTCAAATGAATCTCTCTTCATGACTTTCATTTATTCTGCTCAGTGTTACGTCACTTGTGTTTTAAGAACGGCTCACAGGATTGGTTTAGAAAACAACAGATAGCCCTAACCCAAACAAAACTAACAATGAACCCCAACTCTGAAACAACAGAGCTTTGGGCCAACAAGAACCTATCAAATTAGAGGTTCTAAAGAGGTTCTGGCCAACAGGAATGGATGGAGAACTGATTTAACTCTTCAAACTCTTTAAACTCTTCTTCTTTTTACACAGAAGCTTTTCGCTACCACTGTTGACGTTAAGCACAGCATTTTTCAGTTTTATTTTTATATGTGTGTGTGTGTTAATCTGAAAATTATTTTTACGAATTAATATTTTTCAAGTAAAGGCAGGATTGGCCGCTTTCATGGATAAGTCGGACCATAGTAGTAGTAATATATAAGGCTTGGGGGTTAACGATACCTATTATTTGAAAAGACACGGGACGTCTTCCAGTTCATGACGGGAAAATTGAGCATTTCGAATCGTTTGTTTCGAAATGTTTCTAATGTTTGGCCATTTTTAGCCATAATTGACTGCAGATCATATAGTTTCGGCCTTGTCTGTCCAGTCAGGAGCATCAATTGACTGCACTGATTTCCATACCAAATCAAAGAAACTTTGCTAATACGACAGTTAAAACCTTAAGCCATTTTGGTAATACACATACATGTAAGCGTCTTTACCTATCAGAGTTTCATCGTCGAAGTCCAGCGCTTGCTCATTACTCAGTGATGTGACGTCACTCTCACTCGCTGCTCTGATTCCACTCTGCATCATGAATGCTTTGATCTGGGACAAAAAAGTTGGTATACAGCTTCAAATGGTTATTTTGTTAATTAACGTCTTTTATTGGCACTCATAAATCGTCGTTCAGTTTAATTACCCTGGTGCTTTCAATTAACGTTAAATTCACACCTGCCTGGATTCGCAAAAAGGTACCTCCAGGATTTTTTAACAATTGTCTCATTTGAGGCTTGTTCAGTAATTGACCATCTTTTTCTTATGTTTCAGTACAAAAAAGCTCTAACAAGCTGCAGTAGACCAAAAAAGACACATGTGTTTTTAACGCTTTTTATATCTTTCCCCATGCCACCCCCGCCCCTTCTCCTCTACATATCACTTCCCATAATTCTCTCCGTGGCATAAAACACTACTACATTTGAAATCAGGGCGCGGTAGTAGTCTGCAGCAAAGTTTTCCGGAAGGCATCATTAAGCCTTATGAAGGAACAAGTCTCACGATTGGCAAAGTCTGCCGTTACCCAATATGTTACCGTATTTCGTCTCATTTTGGTTAAACGGGTGAAACACTGATCTCGGGCTTGAGACGGAAAGGCATCACATTGCGAGCTTTGATGTGGGCGGTGACGAGTCTCTGACCTTAAAAAGTAGCTTTTAGGCGTCAAATCTATTCGGCGAGAGCAAAATTGAAGCTGATTTCTGACCAAGCCAGAGACTTAGTTAAAAATTGTTTTGAAGGCCGGCCTTTATGTGTCCCTTTCAAAACGGCCTGTTTACATCCGGGATCTTAAATAAATCGACTGAATCAGGAAAGTTGACATGTGATGATTTATGTGGAGAAAGCGAGAGCAATTTGATAATATTTGGCCCTTATTAAGTGTGGAAACATTGTGCCTGGTTGGTTAAGGATAGTTTTTTGCGATAATGACACTGAAATACAAAAAAATACAGAAACACACTAAAAAGGAAAGAGAACCAAAAAAGTACATGGAAATTACTTACATCAACATACGTAATACTAATTTACAATATCATTGCTTGCAATTTACATTATTAGCTTAATTATTAGTTAATTACATGTGAGAAGGCTCGTGTTTATTGACTTTTTGGTTGTCTCTGCTCTACAACACGCCGGTAGCTGCGGGGGGGGGGGGGGGGGGGGGGGTGGGNGGGGGGGGGGGGGGGGGGGGGGGGGCTTGGTATTTTTGGGGTGGGTATGTGCCGCCCGGGACTCCAAAATGGCACCCCACTCTAGAAAAAATTTCCCCTAAAATTGATACCCCATTCTAGAAATGGGCCAATTTTTTATACTCCGTTCTAGGGTGCAACAAGAGTACAACGGTTTGCTTGTTAACGCATTGAACCGTATTTTTAAAAGCAATCTGTCCTTGAATACTTTCAGTGGCTGCTTACAAAAGTGGAGCTTTCGTGCGTTCGAAATATTATATCCCGTTCTAGAAAACGCCTCTGAAATGGATACCCCGTTCTAAATCAGGAGCTTCAAAATCACGACCCCTTTGGGCGGCACATACCCGTATAGGTAATGTATTGGAGTACCCCCCCCCCCGGGGATAGCTGTGCGATTTTCCGCCAAAATAACCTCGAGTTGCATTTGGGTTGCCATACCTATTAATTGAGTTACTTTACATTCTTTTGCCTGTGGTACGAACGGACGGTCGCTCGGTCGGGTGGGTAGATTACTTCATTTGCTCACCCATGGTACTCCGCTGGAGCGCTTCGCACGTGAGAGCTCCACTATAATTCATACAATCCTTGACTCGGTATTTTTTAAGATAACCCATGGTTAGCGCGAAATTTGTATTCAGATACTAAAACTTAAAAAGCAAATTCAGGTTCATTCATCCTCTGTCCACAATTTTAAGAATATAGAAAGTTATCGTTAACAGAAAATGCTTTTGAGCAATAGCTAGAAAAAAAATTGCAGATCAAAATTTAACCCCGGATTTATGCTAATCGAACTTTGAACAACTGGGCTCAGCTCTATGATTCAGTTTGCTATGATCCCGCAATGTCGGACTCTTTGACAACCTTAGCAATATATCTCATCTTCAGACAAGGGGCGATAGTTTTTACTTTTTTTAGGTAGACGTAGTCGATATCGACATCCCAATAACAGGGAGCAAGAGTAGTTACGTTGCTTATTCGTAAGGCCTGATAGCATCATATTTTACCACCGGATCATGGAATGAGATATCCAATAAGAATATTAAACTCGCTTAAGTTTACCTGGGCATTGCTCTGTAATAGAATAGAATTTTTTAAGCCAGATTGCAACCTAACCCTCGGATGTACACGCAGTCATATCCCCACCGTATAACAAGGGCGGGTTGATGGAAGCCCTCCGGTCCTTAGAGTTTTTGATATGTTGCAGTATTTCCAAAATATTTTACCTTGAGTGGAAAGCCTTTGATCTTCTCTACAAGATAAGGTATATTTTAAGGGTGGTTGCGCTACTGGAGGCCTGTGACGTCACCAAACATGGTCGCCATCTTGGATTTTACCAAGAATTAGAAATAAGGTAAAAACTGCCAGAATTGGTAATTTTTTGCGCTTGACATGTAAAATAACACGTAAGTACTTTGCTTCATTTTATCCTCAAGCTTTACTTTTATCGTTGAAAGAAGTTGAAAAAACACGCATTTTCACTCAAAAATGGCTTGACCACCCGCTACTTATGACGTCATATCTCGTCTCCATAGGAACTGATCATCACTTAACTTGTATCAAAATGCGCGTGAGGAATAAATGAACAGCTATTGAAAACTTCAGGTGCTAATGTTTAATCGTCTACGAAAAAACTCAGAAGAACCCCCACCCCTTAGTAATCAGCGGCTATAATAAATAATACTGAATGAACCCAGTAGGCCTTTCCCGATTGCGCTCGTAAAATCCTAAAAAAGTGCTGGCAAAAATGGCTAAAAAGTGCTCAAAAAGTGCTCAAAATCTCAAAATAGTGCTCAAAAAGTGCTAAAAGTTTGGAACAGTTACCTCTAAGCTTTTCGTAAATATGTCAATTTTTACTGAAGTAATTAACAATCTATTTTGCGTAGTGTTATTCGACAGGTTCTTACGAAAGGTTGATAGAATATAGGGGCGTCGATAAAACCCGGAACATGGAACATTCCGGAACATTCCGGAACATTCCGGAACATCCCGGAACATCCCGCAACATGAAAAAATTAAAATATTTTTTTATGAAAAAATAATTAATTAATTAAATAATAATATTAATAACAATAATAATAATAAATAATAAAAAGAACAATAAATAGAAAACAATTTTTGCAAAAATTTATTATAACAAAATAAATAACATAACATAACATAACATAACATAAAAACGAAAAATAAAGAAACAAAGAAAGAAAGAAAGAAAAAGAAACTGGTATCATCTCCGAGTATGAGAAAACAATATTTTGTCGCAATGAATTTTTTGGGCGAGTGAGGGTCCATTCAAATGACAGTAATGAGTGAGGGCTTGCTTCTAAATTCAAAATATATTAAAATGAGTCGCGAGGAGGGGGTTTTCAAGCTTTCCTCACACAGCCACCTCTTGTAAATGTTTGCCATGCGGTTTAACGGTTATCCATTTACGGCTTTGCGACCGTAGGGAGAGCTTAGGGGCTCGTCACTTTGGACTTGGATATTTAAATTAAAGATTCACATTCCCCGTGAATAGTTACTGTGGCAGTGGTAGCGCAGCGGTAGTTTCTAGCTGTTATCAGTTAGCCTGAATTTTAGCCGTCTCCCCGAAAACTCGTCTTGCGACTCGAGGAGACGTCTGAAATATCATGCTGACTGTAAACAGTATAGAAACTACTACGAATGCGAGTATTGTCCACTAAAATCCAAAGACAGGAGCCCCTATACTCATCTTAAGTTCACAGAACCGCCTAGTCTGTAAGTAATTCATGTCAACCTCAAGTGAAGCAAAGCACCTCAAGTAAGCAATTGTCGGTTATTTATAAGGAGA